GCTCCCCCACCTTGCTCCTGGCTGTTATGGCTACATGAGACAATTTGCTGATGGACTCTCCGAGGAGGGCAGCTTCCCGGGAGACCCCTCCCCACCTCCCACAGCACCTGGGGCAACATCCCCTCCACCTGGTGGGTCCTGGTAGGGGCTACAGATGCTTGTTTTTCCCAGCTCATTGTAGCCTCTGAGTTAGGAAATGTCATCTTTTCTGTCTGCTTAGCTTTAATCGAAGGGTTTGGGGAGCAAACTCAGAGGCAGATTATGTTTCTCTGGCTTTGGGGGTTGACTAGGGTTTTGTTGCTGTTCAAAGCAGAAGCCATTAGAGGCATCCTACTTATCTGTGGCAAGGCCCTCTTTGGGTCAAAGAGGCAGGATGATACGGAGCTACCTGGAGGGCAGTGTGTGACTGCAGCCAGGACTTAGTTCCCCTTTCCCACAGTCAGCTTAGGAAAGCAAGTTAATTTCTCTGCAACTTAGCATGCTTGTCTAGAAAACTAGGATCGTGAAGCCTGTCCTTTCTCCCACCAGGTGGTTATGAGCACAGAATGAGAAATGGTCGTAAAAGTGCTTAAAGAGAAGGCATTTTATTCAGCACTCTGCTCTGATTTCAAGTGACAACTCTTTCAGCAAGAATGGCTCTGCTGATCAGTCTATAACTGCCTAAAAGTTAACTTTCAAATAATTCTAGGCTTCTGAAGTGGTAGGCAGGTAGAATATTTGGGAGAGTGAGTTGACTAAGTGGAGTCTGTTTCAAGTCAACAGATATTTAACGAGCACCTACGTTGTAACAGTCACTGAGCCAGATGCTGGAGAAATGCAAGAATAAAAAGATACAGGTTAGTGGACAGAGAATTGTGACACCTGTAACAAATGCTGAGAGGGAGCACCAGGTGCCAGAAGAGCATGGGGGACGAATGACAACCCAGCCTGGACAACAGGAGCACACCCCAAGGGAGATGAAACCAGAGCTGAGACTTGAATGAGTGGGAGTTAACCAGGCTTGAGGCAGAGGCGAGGGTGTTTGAACAATAGGGAATAGTATGTGCAAAGGCCAGAGGACACTAAGGCCCTTGTGAGAAGAGCTGCAACTGCTCTAGTTTAGGATGGGGGAAATGGCCAGGGATGTGGCCAGTAAGGAGGGCTCTGACTGCCAAGTGTGTTTCTTACTGTGTTCTGTAGGCACCAGGGAGCTATCAAAAGGCTTGACGTATATACGACATCAAATCTCTGTGTTAGACAGATCTTTTGGGCAACACTGAAGAGGATAATTGGAAAGGGAAGGGAGTGGCTGAGGAATGATGAAGGCCTTTCAACAAGCTCTCACAGTTTAGTAGAGGAAGTGAGACATTCACAGCTGGCACCAATTATGTGAGGTGGCGCACGAGCTTTGGCACAGGTGGGATAGACAATAGGGCCAAGGGGTGGGGGACAGGAGGAAACAGGAAAAGAAGGTGCACTGGGAGGGGGCAGAGCCCAGGGCAGACAGAGTACAGGGAGCACTGAAGGTTTGGTAGAAGGGATAACAGAATTATACTATTCAATTTGATAGAGTTGGCCGGAGAGACAACAGATTAACATAGTTTCAGAGATAAGAATTGTTTCATCAAATTGGACAGACCAAAAAATGCTTCAGAGGCATATGTTTCAAGTTTATCAGACTATGAAAGGAACAGACAGGCTGACTACAGATTGGTTCGTCAAATCCCAGAACTGTAGAACTGTGGGGGCACCTCTTGAAGTTCAAATAAAAGGTGAGAGCATGAAGTCAACTTAGTGATTTCCCTGAAATATTTTTGATTCCATTACCGAAGGCTCAAAGCCCTCCAGAAAGTCTCCAAGGCCACAAGACAGAGGCAAGACTCTGCTTCACCATTCCAGCTTCGTCTTTCTCTACAGCAGAAACCCTCTGCTCTAACCTAGAGAAACCACACAGACTGGCTCCTGAGACTATCTACAGCCTTCCAACTTTACCTCTCTGCTTGCCAGAAATGCCTTGTGCCTGCTTCTCCGTATGTCTTAATCCTTCTTGTGTTTTAAGGTCCAACTGAAATCCCATCTCTTCTAGAAAGTTTCCCTTTATCATCCAATTCAAAGGGATTTCTTCCTTCTCTGCATTCTGACAGAACTTAATTATCTTTATTACATATTACACATTTATACATTGTCTTGCACTGTTACCTTTTCATAACCCCTGAACTCTATCTCCCCAACTACATGATAAACATTTTAAGGTCAGGCAGAGGCTTAGCTGGGCAATTTTTCTCTTCCATATGGAGTCTGTAGAGATCACTTGGTGAGATTTAACAGGTGGATAGACTAGTACAGAAAATACAAGATATCTTTACTTACATTTCCGGTGCCTTGGCTGGAAGACTGGGCTCAGCTGGGAATAGTACACCAGAATAGTAGGGTTAGCAGCATCTTCTGCCCTGTATGGGGCTCCCCACTTCCTCTTGGTAAAGATAGTCATTCTGTCCCTCCACAGGCTTTGCACCACGTGTCAGGCAGTCCTCCAGAGGTGGCCAGGCCTCTCTTCTCCACTAGAGATCATTGCTCTGTGATGCAAACTGACTTTTAAAATCAACGTCCTTTCTTTTTTCTGATCAATGTAGTGACCTTATGAGCCACTAGGTCAGTCTTAAACTGGTCCAGGTAAGGGCCAGATATTTCTTGCATGAATGTGACTTCTTTTGCTCCACCTAGCCTATTCACTCCTTCCCTTCCACCAACTAGTTTCAGGGGTGGAAAGCAGGGGTGTAGTCAATGCTGAAAGAGATCAATTCTAGGAATGTAGTGTTAAGGTCTAAAATATTCAAGAAGACATGGTTGGAAGATATATTATTGTACATTTGCACTACAAAATTCTGAACAGTATATTATTATTTATATTTCCCTGCACACTCTAGGCAAAACTTGCCATTACCTCTACCCCACACTCACCACATAGTATTCTAATTATCTGTGTAGATCTTTCCCTCACAGTATATTCAATAACTTTCTATGGCAACCTGATGTCTTACTCATCTTTGTACTCCAGCCCTTGCATTATACTTCATACATAGTATGAGTTCAGTGAGTATATGTAAGATGATTCATGAAAAGAGACCACTGGACTAAGTCCAATGAACTCTGGTAAGCCTAGAAAACAGTTCTAGAAGAAGAAAGGAGAAGTCGGAAGGCAGGTCACCCATAGAAAATGTCAGCAATGTAAATCAATTGTTTGATCAAGTGGTTTAGACATAAGAAAAAATGAGATAGAAGTTAGCAAGATGGGATAGAAGATAGCAGCATGATGGAGAGAGAGAATTTTCTTCTTTTCAGAGGAAGGCTTAAACACACATAAAGGCCTAAGCACTGAGAGGCAGAGAGGAGGTCCTCTGGATTTTAATTTATCTGCTTTACTCATCTGACAGAAATGCTGTGAGGGTTAAAGAATAAGATATAGGCGTAAACATTCTTTGAGAAAAATTTAAATTTCTATCCAACTTTGGATAGCTTCCAACTACCTATAGAATAAAAATCTATAGACAAAATCTAAGCATAATATTTAAGATCTCCCAAGATCTGGCTCCAATGTTCCTTCTAATTCTATTATTGACCCAAGCACTCTAAACCCAGCCATAGAAGATCCATGTTCTTTCCTTTATTTCCCTTTGCTCAGGCTATCCTCTCAGCCTTAAATCTCCTCCCCTTCATCTCCACTAGGCCAAAACAATAAACATTTACAGAGTGGTAGTGTGTGCAAGACACTGTTAAAACTCTATTGATTCTTGAAGGCCCTATTATTGTTTTTTAATCTATGACACTTCTTGCTCTTCTCTAGGGAAATGGTCCTTGGTATCAATCATAGCACTTAATATACCTGATAATATAGCTGGAGAGCATGATTAGCCCTCACAACGTACTATAAGAGATGAGAGATTTGAGGGCTGTGTCTTTCTTGTATTCCTAGCCCTAATATCTGTGCCTTATAATAGGTGTTCATTAATAAATAAATATTAGAATACATGGAAAAATGTCAGGGAAAGAATGTATATGGGTGGACAGTCTCTTGGGGCACTGGGTGGGATCCAGGATATAGGAAAATAGTAGCATCAACTTGTCAAAGGAAGAGGAACGTCTCCTCCCTTGGGAGGAACTGCAGATAAGCCTGGGAGAATTGAAATGGGTTAAGCCTATGTGGAGAAGCCAAAGTGTCCAAATTCTTCAAGACCTAACTCAAATGCCGCCTCCTACATTGTCCTCCCTGAATCTCTTACCAGAGCTGACCCCAGCTTGGCTCAGTATCTTTGAACTTTCTACCTGTAGACATTAATTTGTATACGTATTTTATTTGCTTTCCTGGACCTCTTTAAAGGCAAGAGGAACCTGATCCCCAGTCCCTACCCCTCCACCTCCCGCCCCGCTAGCATATTTGACACATAGTAATCACTCATTCAATACGGATTTACTGGAGGGATAAACGGGGTGGGTGGGGCAAATGAGCAAATTTTTGATGGAAGCTTGTGCCAGAGACTCCAGTGAAGGGCGAAATCTCCAGACCCACAATTAAACAGTTTAATGCGAAGCCAAGAAGGAACCCTCCTAGCTTTCCTCTAGCATGCACAAGCAAGTATCCACCCATTAGCTTCCAACCCTGCTCTGAGGACCTCACGTCAGTACTCTGCAACTGCCCTTGCGAGTGCCTGATTCAATGCTGAAGACAGACTCTCGCCAAAACCTGTACCTCCTTGTCCTCCATCTGAGGTCGAACCTCTGACTACACTTAACCTTTTTTTCCCGGCCTCTTTTCTTGATTCCTTCCTTCTCTCGTAACCACCACCAGTCAGGCGTGCGTAGGGGTGGCCCTAGCCAGTAAGGGAGGGCGGGTCCTACGACCGGAAGCCGGAAGCCGGAAGTCTGAAGGGGATTGTGAGTACGTGGTCTGTGGAAGCCGGACCGGACCTGCGGGGTCGGCGACATGGAGCCGCTGTACCAGCAGACGCACAAGTGAGGGCCGCGTCGGGGAACGGGCGGGGCGAAGCCGGGCCGGGTGAGGCCGGCCTGCCGAGCTGAGGTCTTGGGCACCTGTCTGTGGAGGCCGAGTCTTTCCGCGGGCACTGTCGGGGGCAGCTCGGAAGTGCTCCATCCCCGGCGGGAAGCCCAGGTCAGCGGCGGACAGAGGGTCAGGCCTGGGGCCCAAAACGTTGGGCCATTTGGCTCTTGTGTTACTCGAGGCCGTGACTACCTACTGGGTAGACTAGGTGAAGAGAAGTTGCACTTACGGGTTATAATACTTTGCCCCGCACCTGCCAACTCAGTGCTCCGGGTTGGTAGAGTTTGTGGGGAGAAAGAGTCCCAGCACATGGAATTTACTGTTTAGTTGAAGAGTCAAGTGACTCATGAAAAAAAGCTAACGTGTGGCAGGATGGGATGGAGGGTAAAATGAGCGATACAAACAGAATCAGCTTAAGCAACTTAGAAGGATCCATCCATCACTGGACTAATATCATTAGAAAAAGTTTCATTACAGCTCGCAGCTCCTAAATGATATCAATGCCTTCTCTTGACTGACCCTAATCTTGTTGCTGCTACATTATGATTTTTTTCTTTTATGCTGATTTGGTTTATGCTAAAGACCATATTTTTGTGGCACAAAGAAATTGCTGTACAAATAGCATTCAGTATTATTATTTGTTAATTATATCTAGTTATAGGTTACTTTTAAGGAAATTGAGTTTTGATTTAGCTTCTCATAACTTAAATTCTTTGGTAGTGTCCTTTATTCATATTGTCATGCATTTTTGGAACTTGCTTAGGTACATAGTTGAGTTGGGTAAGAGGGACCATGCCTATCCTATTATTTTGGAAAAACTTTTATGATTTTTTTCATTTTTATTGTGGTAAAATATATGTAACAAAATTAACCATTTTAACCATTTCTAAGTGTACAGTTCAGTGACATTAAGTACATTCACAATGTTGTGTAACCATCACCACAATCGATTTCCAGAACTTTTTCATCAGCCCAAAGAAACTCATGTATCCATTAAGGAGTACCGCTGCATTCCTCCCTCTTTAAGCCCATGGTAACCTCTTTTCTATTCTCTCTGAATTTGCTTATTCCAGTTATCTCATGTAAATGGAATCATACAATATATGTCCTTTCGTGTCTGGCTTATTTCACTTAGCAAGTTTTCAATGTTCATCTACATTGTAGCATGTATCAGAATACCATCCCTTTTTATGGTTAAATAATCCTGTATGTACACACACATGCACACACACCCCCTGCCCCCACATTTTGTTATCTGTTCATCTGCTGATATACACTTGGGTTGTTTCCACCTTATGACTGTTACAAATAATACTACTATGAACACTGGTGTAAATCTGTTTGATTACCTGTTTTCAATCTTTTAGAGTATATATCTATACCTGTCCTATTTTAACAACTTTCAAATTTATGTTGTAGTTTCATCCTGATGAAAATAGAATAAAATAGAGACCCACCTTCCTAATGAATTCACAGCAAAAGAAATACATCAGAACATTAGGGATAAGAGGATAATGATTCTCTTACTCTTTCATTTTCTAGTTTATGGGTTTCTTTTTACTTTAGTGATGAAGTGTTTGGTTTGGGTGGGTGAAAATATGGAACTTTATAATGATGTTAAAATGACAGAATTTACTCTTACACTGGAGAGCCCTATTCTCATATAAAAATTAAAGAAAAGGACTTAAAAAACAAGACCAATGAGTCAGTTAAAAATGGAATGTATCAGAAAATTACATCTACCTAAGATCTACCTAAGAATGGGTAGATCTTTTACCATAGTAAGGCACAGTGGGCTGAGTGCCTAAAAGTTAATCTGTACAGTCTCATCTGGTTAGTTGATTAAGTTAAAGGATGTTGTTAAGGAGGCTGTGACCAGTTTATTTTCAAGAATAGTTTTATTTAGAGAGTCTCAGACTATACTTCGTGTCAGTGCAGCAGGTAGCTGATCACAGAGAAATCTAGATAGCTCAATTCTGCACAAACTTAGGGAGAAGAGAAATACTAAATGGTTTCCCAAACAAGATTTGTGGAATATAGATGAAGTACTTAACTCTGCAGGCCTTCAACAAACAACCTGCCCTTGGACTCTATAGCAGAGCTCACCAACTTTTCCTGTTAAGGGCCAGATAGTAAATATTTTAGGCTTTGCGAGCCGTACGATCTCTGTGGGAGCTACTCCTCTCTCCCGGTACAGCACAAAAACAGCAACAAACAACATGTAAACAAATGGATGTGAAATTTTATTTACAAAAACAACTGGGCCAAATTTGATCTGTCACTATTAGGCCCTCTACTATGCAGTCACTCATTCAGCGAATGTTTTTTTGAGCTGGTAATTGTCTTTAAAAGGAAACACATGGTGTCCTGTGAGCATCAGAAATTAACTTCTGCAATTGCTGAAATTAATGATTGTAGCTGAATTGACAAAGCAGTAAGTGAACATATTAATTTTACTGGAACTTTGAACCCAACTTGTTATCTCTTGCCATGTCCCTGAAAATACATTGCAGTTAGATAAACGTTTAAGGTAATGTATCTTAAAAACTCCTGAACTGCTTGAACAATGAATGGAGAAAAAAATGAAAAACAGAATAAACATTAGAATGAACTTTATAGAGAAGCCAATAGCCAGGCTTCTATTTTTGAGATCTCAGTGGAGGTGCCGCATTTGCCCCCTTTGTAGTCATAGAAGTTCTGATTCCGTAGGTATGGAACACAGTTTATTTTTTAATAAACTCCGCAGGTGACTTTGATGAGCATCTGGGTTTAAGAACTATTACCTATGTCAAGACCAGTTTTTCCATTCCTTTGTTTGTTTGTTTTTGATTTTACCTTCTGATGAAAGGCTAACTCCTGTATAAGAGAGGCAAAGTGAGTGAGGTGAAAATGGCACAGCATTTTCATATTGCATTTGAATCTCCTGCCCGTTAAATAATTGTGATTATTAATATCCCTGTTTTATAATTGAGGAAGTCGAGGCACCGAGGAGTTAAATGACTTGTTTGGTATTCCTCAGCTAATATATAGTCGAACTATAGCTTCAACCCAGATCTTTTAATTCCAAAACCTTGTTTCCTGCTTATGGTTTAAATTTCTTCCTAGATCTTCTACAGACCCTTTTTAAAAAATCAGCAACAGTGACCCTTGCTTACTTGCAACTAGGTCTGTGCTTGGTAATGATGTCACCCAAGCCCACTATGGGCCCTGTGCTAGACAGGACTAGAACTTCTGATTTCTAGTGTCCACACTCCCAGATTATACTTGGCATATCATCTGTTGCTTACTGGCTTCGAGTATGTTGTTTGAATTCCCAGTTCAGTTTAAAACAGATTGTCCAGTTGGCACGTGGTAGTTTCCACCATGCCATGCATACTTGCTTTGTTGGTTTGCATATATTTCCTCTCAGGCATAAAACATGGAGATTGTAATCACTTTTCTAGTTCATTCGAAGCAAATAGAGATTGGATGGGAAAAGTCAGTAATGTTTTTCAGCAACTTCTTAAAGTTTATCCTTCTTAGCTTAGAAAATAGTAAAAGCCAGCTGAGTGTTTATGGAGTTTTGTGGATGTTGACCTCATCTCTCCCATTGTTCTCATAGAATTTAAGAATTGGAAGGGACTGGCAAGATGTCCCATTCCAAGTCACTTTGGTCAAGAAGTCTCTGTAAAACCCAAAGCAATCCATGTACACTGCTTTTAAACATGCAGGAATTCCCCCCCGCCCACACAAACCTTTTCTTGAAGAGAGAGATCATAATTGGTTTTGGTTGTTTTGTTTCCTTGTATTAAGCTGAAATCTGTCATCTTGAAATTTGTACCTTTTGGTCCTGGGTCTCCCTTAAGGAGCAGCAACAGAAAGCAAGCCCATTCCTCGTCCTGTAGGTCAAGTCTAGAGAATCTGAAGAGCACCAGCTGTGCCATTTTACATTTGTTTTTTCACTTCTTTTCCAAGAGGTTTATTACTAATTCTTTTAACCATTCCTCTTCATGACTTCTAAACTTCCCTAGTCATCCTGTTCATCTCGCATTGGGGGAAACCTTTAACAGATGGCTCCTAGAATTAAATGGTATTCCATAGTGTGCATTTGGATATTTTTTTTTAATCTAAAGTCAAAAAACTTTTTATTGACAAATTTCACCTTACTGTTTTAGCCTAAATGGGAAATGTGACTGTTTTGTTGTACACTATCCTAATCCCTCATTTAGCACAGAACCATGTGTAAATTTCATAAACATAAGTTGACTTTTTAAAAATACTGAACAAAACGGAGCCGAAGGCGGTGCTGTATTGGAATACTGAAGATCAATCTGTAGTATCATTGAGCCATATTTATCGTAAGGTATCATGTGAAACTATCAAATGCTTGTTGAAATCAACATAAACTTACTGTGGTCTCAGTGTATTGCTTCTTTCCCACTATGGACACACCTGTGGTTTTATTTTCCTCTTGCCCATGGACCGTTGTGATTGCAAATGAATTGTGCTGAATGAATGAATAAATGACTGAATGAGTAAATAAATGAATGACAATACTTGTTAGATCATTGATTCTTAACATCTGAAAAAACTATTATATTTAGTTATTTTATCTATAAAATATTTCAAACATACAAAAATAGGGAATAACATAACATGTGTCTAAGGACTCATGTTTAATACACATGCTTCAGATCATCGATTTAAAGATGGTAGTAGAATCGAAAGCTCCCACACCCTAAGGACATATTCCTAGAAGTGGAATTCTGGGTCATAGGATATACACATATTCGACTCTATCAGTTACTGTCAGAAAGCTATTAAAAGTGTTTCTAACAGTTTATAATTCTGCCATATATGAGAGTTCTAGTTCCCCACGTCCTTAAAGTTGAAAATGTTTGTCTGATGGGAGAAATGTGGCATCTTATTGGTTTTAATTTGCATTTTCCTGATTACTAGTAAAGTTGAGTATCTCTTTATATATTTATTGAATATTTAGGTTTCCTTTTCTGTCAGTTGCCCTTTGCCCATTAAAAAAAATTGCTTTGTTTGACTTTTCCTATTGATTTATAGCAGTTTGTTATATATTCTGGACATTAGTCCTTTGTTATCTGCTGCAGATATCTTCCAGTCTCCATCTGTCTTTTTTTTTTATGGTTACTTTGGTGTAAAAAAGTTTTTTGTTTTAATTTAGTCAAATGTATAAGTCTCATGTGGTATGTGGTGGTTTGGGAGGGTAGTTTTGTTTTTTTTGTCTCATTTAAGAAATCCTTCTTTAACCTGAAGTCATAATATGTACTCCTGTATTTTTCAAAAAGTTTTAATGCTTTGCTTTTTACTTTTAGGTTTTAAACTATCTTGAGTTTATTTTTGTATATTACGTGAGGTATCTTTTTTCCATATGGATGACAAATTGGGCCATCAGCATTTAGTGTAGTCCATTGTTTTCCCACCAATTTATGTCGCTAAGTTCCCAATATGTCGGGCTGTTTCTGGCCTTTATTCTTTCCTCTTGAGTCAGGATTAGGGTTTAGAGCTTATCTATTGTTGTCTCTCCCTGCATGCTATCATATTGTTTTAATTCTTTCTTTATAATAGTCTTAATGGCAGATAGGACAAGTCATCCCTTTTATACCTATTCAGAGTGTCTTGGCTGTTATTTGCCCCCACCCCCCCTTTTTAATTATGTTCCTATTCCTGCCAATAATGCCACCAGTTTTCAGATTTGCTCTGTTAAGCTGCCATTGAAAATTTACCTCACTGCCTATATCCAGGCTTTTAGTAAAGTCCTAATTCTCTTTTCTATCAGCGTTACCATCCATTCGTCTATAGCTGATCCAGATGTTGGCTCCTCAAGCTGCATTCCTACATCTGCCTCCATGTCTCCATGTCTAGAATTTTTGAACTTTCTTTACCGAAGTAGCAGTCTGGCCTCTCAGACTTTAACAATGATTTTTAGTTGCCTCTCAGGGCTACAGGTGTGACCCAGGAGCACTCTGGGAGTCATTTGAGGGGTGGCCTTGCTTCTGGTGCCATGGGTCATGTTTAGAGGCTACAGGGAAACCCTAGAAAAGACTAGAGGCAAGTTGAAACCAAATTTGGGCTCCTGGCTTGCGTCGGTACCTTAGGGCCACAGTGTGGTGCTTATGGCAGAAAGTGATTGCAGACCTTTCACTCAAGAGGTGGAGATGATATAAGAACTCAGCCGGCCCCTTCCATGTGGCTCTAACATAGAGAGGCTGTAAGCACCAGGAGGCAGTTGTTGGGGGTAGCATAAGCAGAATTCCAAGGACTAATCCCAGGGGCCACAAGGAACGGTTCTGAGGGTGACCTTGGCCAAGCCCTGAGGAGCCTCCAGGGAATGCTCTAGGGGCCTGATGCCTGGGACCATGCCAGAGGTCCAGGGTACAATGTTACATTTCCATTGAGATGGCAGTTGCCTCATTTCCAGGGAAAGATGTTTACCCGGCAGGAGATTCCTATCTTTGAGGGCCTTCCTCCAGTGGTTTCCTCCAACTAACTGAGGGTGACCTTGGCCAAGCCCTGAGGAGCCTCCAGGGAATGCTCTAGGGGCCTGATGCCTGGGACCATGCCAGAGGTCCAGGGTACAATGTTACATTTCCATTGAGATGGCAGTTGCCTCATTTCCAGGGAAAGATGTTTACCCGGCAGGAGATTCCTATCTTTGAGGGCCTTCCTCCAGTGGTTTCCTCCAACTAATCGCCCATCCCCTTCTCCCCTTTGACTCTGACTCTTTCAGACAGGCCAGCCTGCTTATAATCCTCATGACATGCCTTACATACCTTTTTGCATATCATTTTCTTAGTATTATATTAGGCCTGTGATGGGAGATTTTGAGGGTGGTGCTAGATGATTGGCATGTGAGGTCATTTTTATTGACATTGGCTATTATATAACCCTTTGCCTACTGTGCATGCGGTTACCCAGAATTCAGTCTGTTATAGTTAGATTCATGAACTCCAGGCATATGCATGATATTATAATGATAGTATAATGAGATTAAGATTATAGAGAGGTTAGGGTAGTACTAACTGCACAAGTGCTTGTGGCTGGGCCAAACCAGCCACTCTTTTATTGCTCTTCTTTGAGCCTCAGGATATAGGGGTAATTTGTAACCATAAAATGGGAGTTCTAGGGAAGTCTGAGGGGAGAGACCTTCATTCTCCAGTTGCTCATGTCTACCTAACTACCAAATAATATAATTTTATTATTTTTAAAGAAGAAATCCAAATATAAGTAAAATATGTTTATTATTTATATTTTGGCAATTAATTTTCTTTTATCACTCTATAGGCCAACATTAAGTAAACTCAGATCTAGATTGTGAGGGTACTTTGCAAACTCTTGTCTAGGCTTTGTGGTGACTGCTAGCTGAAGGCGATTGTCTCTATTGCATTATAGTTACAAAAAAAGGAATGATTAGGACTTCATTAGGGAAACTCTGCAAATAAATTCCATTAAGTATCTCTTGGATACAAGGCCACAGACCTAGACCTTGACTACATGAAATTTGTCACGTA